CATACAATATCATTTTTAAATTAACTATTATACTCACATACATACATATATATACATATATATATATATACATATATTGTATAACTTATTCTCTTTTAGCTATTTTAGTAGCCAACTAATTTACCATAAAAAGGATTTCTCTTTTTCTTTGTATTTTTTGATATTGTTTTTTTTTTGCTTTGCTTCCTTGACCAACCACTAACGTTTCTTAAAGAGTATATTTTATAGACAAGACGTTTTATAATAATGTGTTTTTTTTTTTTTTTTAAATTCTTTGTTTTAATCTTTAATATAAAAATCTTTCTTAAAATATTATTGTACATTTTTATATCTAAATCTTATGTACAATATATGTATATGTTATGTATATACTCTTAGATATTTATGCAGTTGGAATATATTGCTTTTTCTTCCTTGATATTATGATTATTATTATTATTTTAACATTTCAATTTTCTTGCAATAATAATAGCAAGAATCCAAGGAAAAAAGGAATAAACAGAAACTCTTTATATATTTTTAAAGATAGTACCAAAAAAAATGTAACTTTTAAAAGATCCTTCAACAAGGAAGTAAATTCTTCATAGTTCAGAAAATATTTAAGTATACATTGTTCTAGAGCTATTTTGGAGATGGTATATTATTGAACTGCTTTATTCGAAGCTGCAATATCGAATTGTATGTGGGAGTAGTGTTTATTTTAATATAATTCGGTCTACTTTAATTTGGCAAGAACACATTCTAAGAATAATTATAAATAAGACCAGAATATATTCCAATTTTCCTCTATTTAAAAATTTAAATATTTTACCTCTGCGCCACATTTGCTTCTTCAAATATTTGAAAATTTTGTTATAATAGATTGGGATTCTCGAATTACCGAAAATTCTATACTAAAATTAATGCTCTTAATTAACTAAACGGAAATTCTTTATATATTAAAATTTTCAATTAATAAAAAGGAATTTAATTAATAAAAAGGATTAGATAATTTTTGTGCCGTTCAATAGGAATTTATTTTGAAAAATTCTAGTTACTCTTAAAATTTAAAATAGTTCCAAAGCATTCATGGTAATGAAGCTACTATTTTTAAAAAATGTGTTAATATTTTCATCAATTCAATAATATTAGGCATTAGCCTTATGAACTTTGTCTATTACGATATAAGCTTTAATTTTGGAGCAAATTATTTAGACACATACATCCTAACTAATTAACTCGTTATTCTTATACTCATTTCTCTACACAATCATAATATTGTATATATAACACTGAATAAGTGCAAGGATATAATATTGTAAAGAAACAAAAAAAAAAGTCAACACAGCGAATAACAATTTTTTTCAAAAAAATTTTTTCTTTAATAGAAAATTTTCTTGAGAAAATTTTGTCGGCTTGGTATGAAAAATCATGTTAAAAAAAAAACTAGATTATCTGCAACAAAACAACATCCAATTGAAAAAAGTAAAAAAAAAAAAAAAAAATAGGAAAATGAAGAAAATTGAAAACTTTTTGAAGTGCCTTTCAAAAAATTCGAAATATAGGAAAGAGACAAAAGAGATTCAATACAAAAAAAAAAACATAAGAGAAAAAAAATTGAGACATTGAATTTCAGTTTTTTTTTTCTGTTATTGTTGCTGATCTGCTATCATATTAGTCTCACACTCCTTCACTATATACGATTCAGCATCCCACACCTAATAGCATTTTCTTGTTTGGTTCGTTGTATCAATTTTTTTTCTATTCGTATGCACGACTTTCACAAGGGGTCAAAAAGAATCCTTTTTGTTTCTTCTTTTTTTTTTCATACGTACATATAGGAAATTTCTTTTTTATAGCTTGTTTAAAATATTTTATTGATTATATTTGTATTTATAGTATATGAGATGTTTAAAAGGATTAAGATGTGCAATATTGTGTACAAAAATTGAGAAAATAAAAAAAAAATGGGAAAATTAATGACATAATAGAAATTAGTCTTAAAATTGATCATTTCTGATAAAAGAAAGAGTAGTGGTGATTAACAAATAAAAATTAAATTTTTTAAAGAATGGCGTATGGGAAAATTTTGTATTAAGAGTTAGACAATGTAGGATCAAAATATAATTAATAAAGACATTTTAATGAGGAAAACAAAACAAATTAGTCAAAATACTCAAAAATTTCTTAAAAGCGAAAATTCGATTGTTAACTATATGGAAGCAAACTTTTTTTAGCAATTTACATTAAATAAACACAATCTTAATGTGAATAACTTGGTTGTCTCTAGTTCATTTAAATCTTTGTTAGTCAACCATAAATAAACTAAAATTACAGTAAAACATGTGTAATACAGGAATAATTCATTAAAAACTAATTGAATTCAAAAATTTCTGTCATCTTTATTAAAAAAACCTACATAATATTATTTGTTATTGCAAGCTATGTTGTTCAAGTGTCTCAAAAACAATGGATGGCATTCTCAACGCCGAAAATAAAAAAGCCTTGTTCTGAATTCTAATTTATAATCAATCAATGAAAAATTCTAAAATGTCTGGAAGAACTCGTGCCTACCGGTTAACATAAAAAATGTTTGCCTGTAAATATGAGCTCAACGAAACAATTTAGCTTTGCTCACCAGTGATAAATTGGAACTCAACATATTAAAGAATTAATGGCGAAATTAATGAAGATAATACTACAGAAAATGTTTCATCGAGCATTGTTTCCCGAACTTAATATTAATCATTGTTGTAAACCTCAATATGAATGGGAAGTAGATCAGGGAATTTTTCGGAAACTGTTTTAATTGACTTTCAACTGATTTAAAAAAACATTGTAATTAATAATCAACATTTTTTTCATGCTCATTATTTTTAATATTTTTACGATTCACATTAAGCGTTTGCTCTGTTCATAGTTCTTGTTTGCTTTCTTCTCATTTTATTTAAAATTTTTTTAAAGCTACTCTCATTTATCACTTAATTTTTTTTGATTTTCTTTCGGATCAAAAATTTAAAATATCAAGAAAGAATAAAATTTCTATTTTTCTCAAACATTTCATTTAAATATCGTACAAACATTCACACTGAGAAAAATTTTGCATTGTCTGGGTTTTCTCATGATTTTTTCTTTTTCTGTTTTTTTTTATGTATAGGTATAGGTATTCATCTTTGATATTTACCGTATTATTATTATTCTATAAAAGAAATAATAATACAGCCAGCCGCCTTAACCGCCGCCTTAAAAATCTTTTTTTTTTATATATAAAAAAAAAATGCTCTTTAAACTGAGTGGTGCAATGCAAAAACATTATAAAAATATTATTTTCTTCAAAAAGTTAGAGTTAAAAAAAGGATTTTCATAATATTTTTTTCGACCAATTTCTTTAATAATTTTTAATTTTTATGGAAAAAGAAGAGGAAAACATGATAAAAAAGAAGGCATTATATTGAATTCTAGAGGCTTTTTTTTTCCTTTTTTACTGATTTCTTTTCTCTATGAATGGAAAATTTAATTTAACTTAAAAGGAAAGAAAAATATATATAAATAAATAAATATGTACATAAAATGTAAAAAAATTTAAGAAAAATATCATTTAAAAAAAAAATTGCTTTCTATAATAATGAAAAGAAAGATAGGAGGTTATAATGCAGTATAAGGATAATAATAACAATAAGAAGAAAAATAAAAGTAAAGAAGAACACCAGCTAAATAAAATGGGAATAAGAAAAGAAAAAAAAAATTACCTTGATTGCATTTCCTTTTTGGTAACATGGGAATATGGCAGTAAATGCGGCTGTTGAATAAAATCATTTTGTAAATATTGTATTTTGGAAACTGATTTTACTACACAGAACTCCTTTTCAAGCTCACATAACAAAAAAAATTTACATTACAACTTTCTTAGATGAATCCCATATTAGAAAATCGTCATTTGAATTGATTCTTCAAAGCAATATGTTGACTATCATTAAGACTTTAATCTTAAATTTTTACAAAGGTTCCATATTTTTAATAATAAATATTCAACTTGTTTGATACTTTTTCGATGCCAATGTGAATATTACAGAATTTGACTTAAGAATTTAGTAAAAATTGTTAAGATTTGCCCTTAAATGAATGGTTGAAGGCAAATGGGGCCTTAAAATATTCGCACTGTTAGGGTTGCTCAACAAAACTGTTTAGTAACTGTTTAGTACCAATACGAAATTTTGATTCTTTATAGAACAATCAGAGCGAAAAATTTTTTTAGTTAGCAAATTTATCAAAGATTTAGTGTAAGTTGCTTTTTACAAAATTAATATGAAAAAAAACCACTTAAAAAGTAAATTCTTGTTTTAATATTATTCCTCTTTTTTTTTTACCTTGTTGTATTTTTTGGCATCATCCCAAAGCAACAAATAATACAGCAATGGCACAAAAATAGGCTTTGATGCTTAAAGCTAATTCTTTTGATTTGAAATGCATTTACTTTTTTTTTTTGAAATTTTCATTTTATTATTTTTTTTCCTTCAATTTTTATTGTATAGGTATATACTTTAGATTTTCTATAGGTACCTTAGAAATTATTTTATAAATTTAATGGGAAAAGGGACTAGCAGATACAATATTCATAGAGAAAAAAATTCATAATCAAACAAGAAAATTGGTAAAAAATACAAAAAAAAAATATTTTCAAATATTTTTTCTAAGTGTATACAAAAACAGAAAGCTATTGCATTTTGTCCTTTTAAATAAGCAAAATGCATATTTTTAGGAAAAGAAATTCAGTTCTTAATCTATATCCTTTTTGTACGAAGATAAAAAAAAAATGTTTTTGTACAAAAAATTTGCATTATTAAATTTCATAAAAAAAATTGAGGCTTTAAATAAGTAAAAGGCTCCTATAATCTTTAAAAAATAAATTATTTTACTTTGAATCCTTGTTATTTATTTTTAAAATTAATATTAATACCATATCAAAAATTTCTACACATAAAATAAAATTTAATTCATTAACTTTTTCTGTTGTAATTTATAGGATACGGTCACGATATTTCACCAATGCATTTTACAGCATATTTACCAAGAATTGAAAATGAAGTGACAGTAATAACATCACATTCAGCTGCAGTTGCTGCAGCTGCAGCAGCAGCAGCATCAGCTGCTTCTTCATCATCAAATAATGGAACAAATATAATAAATAATGGTTCATCAAATAATAGTCCATATTCATACCAGTCAATTGTAGCAGGAACAGCAGCATCAACACCAAATACTATGAAATCAAATTTATCTTCAGCATCTTCACGTACACCATCTCCTAGGTGTACACCATCAATAAGTGGATCACCAACATCTGTCTTAAGTGTTAATATTAGTAATGGTGGTAATAGTGTCTGTAGTAATAGCAATAGTAATAATAGTGATCTAAGAAATACAAGTAATGGTTGTAATTCATCAATAAATTCTGATGATCGATTTAGTCCACCAATTGTACATATAAAAACTGAAATGATTGATCATCATAATAATCATTTGCATCAACAACAGCAACAGCAACACCATCAAAATCAACAACAACAACATCATACGAGTGAAAATGAAATGTCACCAGTAAGAAGTTCATCTTCATCTTCAACGAATAGTAATAACAGTAATAGTAGTAATAGCTTAAATAATGGTATCAATAATAATTCTAATTCTAATACAACAAATGGAAATAGAAAATCTTTAGCAATGTGTTTTACAAGTACTGGTGCTGCACTATCATTACCGCCAAAGAAAAAAGATATTTATAGACCGTATTCATTAGATGATAGACCAACAATACAGCGTACCTATGATATGAGAATACCAGCTGAAGAAGATTTACATGCAGCACATGCGATACTAGATTTAAGTGCATCAACAGCATTTTTACCACCACCCCAACCACATCAAATAGCACAACACCAAGCAGCACAACAACAACATGCACAACAGCAGCAACCGCAACAACAACAACAGCCACAACATCAGCATATTCATCATACGGCTAATTTACAACATCCCCATATACATCAGCATCAAACAATATTAGCGCAACCACACACTCAACATCAATCACAACAACAAACAGAATTAAGTTCAATATCGCAACATCATTCAGTTAGAATTAATTCTCCTTTAAGCAATCATCAACAACATAATGAAACAAAACATTCAATTACTACAATTATAGTACCTGACGATGAGGATAAAAAAATGCATTTGCAACAAATTCAACAGCATCATCAACATCATAATTCAATTGTAATACAACCACAATTGTCACCAATTAGTAACTCATCGGATCACCATAGTTCTGTACAAAATGAAAATAGTAATACAACAAATACAATATGTAACACAAATAATAGTAATCAAGAATCACATTTATCAACAAAATTGCCAACAACAAAAACAGTTGCATATACATATGAAGCGTTTTTTGTTAGCGATGGTAGATCAAAACGTAAAACTGTTACTGATCCAGTACAAGCAGCAGTAATTGAACAAAATAAAGCAAAATATACGTGTACAGAATGTGGTAAACAATATGCAACATCAAGTAATTTATCTCGACATAAACAAACCCATAGAAGTTTAGATTCACAATCAGCAAAAAAATGTCATACATGCGGTAAAGCATATGTATCAATGCCAGCATTAGCAATGCATGTATTAACACATAAATTATCGCATAGCTGTGGTGTTTGTGGTAAATTATTTTCACGTCCATGGTTATTACAAGGTCATTTACGTTCACATACCGGTGAAAAACCATATGGTTGTGCACATTGTGGTAAAGCATTCGCTGATCGTTCTAATTTACGTGCTCATATGCAAACACATTCAGCTGATAAAAATTTTGAATGTAAACGTTGTCATAAAACATTTGCATTAAAAAGTTATTTAAATAAACATTTAGAATCAGCATGTTTTAAAGAAGAAACATCAATATCACCAACAACAATACAACAAAATTCAACATTTAATCAACATTTATTAGATGATCGTTCAATGACAACACCATCACCAAATATATGTTTTATTAATAGTCCCGGTAGTAATAATAGTAATAGTGGTAATAGTGTTAATAATAATAACAATAATAATAATAATAGTATAATGATTACTAATAATAATAATAGTGACATTAAACCAATTTCAATAATAACAACAACAACAGCAGCACAACAACAACATCAACAACAACAACAACCTTTAACACCAACACCAAGTGGTCTTTTAATAACAAATGTTACTAGCGGTAAAATATTAACAGCAGCTAGTGCCTTACAAGGTGTTGCAATACCACGTAATACAATACAAATATCAGCATCATTTTGCGGGTAACAAAGATTGTTAATAACATAAAATGATGGATTGTTGCTACTATTATAAAATACACAATGAAAAGAACAAAAAAAAAAACAAAAAAAAATTTATTCAAAAAATATAAAATGGTAAATATTTTTTATTAAATTATTTATATTTATATTTATATATATAGAATTAAATATCTTTATATTTAAAATAATATTTAATTTTAAAAAAAAAAAAACAAAAACAAAATACAACTAAATATATTTCTATTATTTAAAAATTTAATTTAATTTTTTCAATTATTATTATTTTTAGTTTAGGGAAAAAAAAAATCAATATTATATAATAATATAAAATACTAGCTCAATTTTTTTTAAAAAAAACTCAGAGTTAAAATATTACAATTAAACAAAAATAAAAGAAAAATTCAAAAAAAAAAAAATCTTAAATTAAATTACATTAAAGTTCAAAACACAACAATGAAAACGTAATAATAATAATTAATTAAATAAGAGAAAGAAAATATAAAAAAAAAATTAATATAAAAAATTTCAGAGAAAACATTTAAAAATTAAAAGAGGAAAATTTATATTAAAAATTATTATACAAAAATAAGATGAAGTGATTATTTTTGTTGAAAAAAAAAAGAATAAAATAAATAAGTATAATAATTAATTACTAGATTAATAATGAAATGAAGAAAAACACAGAAAATTTTTAAAAATATATATTTAAATTATATTAAAATAATAATTATAAATTAAAAATATATTAAAAGAAGAAAAAGAAACAGCTAAATTTCATATAAATAGAATGAAATTTGAAAAAAAAAAAATTTATATTTATTAATTTACAAAATAATAATTACAAAGAAGCTAAATAATATTATTAAAATAAAACAAAATGAGATTGTAATATACTATTGTTAATTTTAAATAATAATAATTAATAATATTTGTGTGTGTCTAAGATTAATTTTAGTATATCTGTAAATATTTTTACTAGTATATTATTATATAATAATATGTTTAGATATTTATACATTATAATATAGATTTATATGTATATAATAATTTGTATATTTTTAGATTTTGTAAAATAATTTATTATTAGTATAAATTTTTTCTAATTTATCTTCAATATAAATTATAATGTTTAATTAAAACAAAATAGTAAAAAAATAGTATTTTATAATAACAAATACAAAATATATATTATAACATTTTATATACATGCATATAATATATTATTTTATAAGTGTATATATATATTAATTAAAATTTAAATAATATATTTGGTGTGCATTAATAATAATAATATATATAAAAAATATTTTAAATAAATATAATTATTTTTTTTTCATAATTAATTTTAATTATATTCTACGTAATTCTTTTTTTTTTAAATTTTATTCACAAACCATCTATAAATGGTGTAATAAATTATTTTCTTATATTAATTAATTATATTAATAATTAATTTAAGTTTAATATATAAAATAATAATTAAATATAAATATGTAAATTGAAATACACAAATATAAAAATGACAATATGAAAATATTATATCTTGTCCCTTATTCACAATTTCTATTTTTTAAATTACTTGATTTTTAAAAGAAAAATATATTATATAATAATTATTAATATAATAATTAAATTAACATAATAATTATTTAAATTCGACAAAAACTTAATATTTAACATATTTTAAAATATCAGCCATTTTATTTATTTTGTTTTAAAAAGAATAAATTATTATTATTTTTGAATATTTTTAATAATAAAATAATTTTATTTAATATAATTTAATGTGAAAATCTAGTCTATTTAATATTATAATATAATAATATTATGATATAAAATATAACAGAAATTTTTAATTATTTAATTATTATATTATTTCAATTACATTATATGAAATAAATTCTTAAATTTTTATATGTATATAAAAATTTCATTTTAAAATAGGGAATAATTTTTATTAATTAATTCTTTCTTCTATTTATAATATTTATTTATTTATTTATTCAAATATTAACTAATTTAATATAAATATAATTTAATTTCAATCGAAACTATAAAAATAATAATTCACAATAATATAAAGATCAACTAATTGAAAACAATATAAAAGGAAAATCAGTAACACCATAAATAAAACCAAAAAAAATTAAGAAAAATCCAATTAATTTGAATAAATATTTTTTGAATTATCTACGTCAATAATTTAAGTAATTAATTTTATTATAGCCAAATGTAAAAATTTTATTTTTCTCAAATCCTAATTAATCTTCTATCAGATAAAAAACAGAACTTAAAAGGTAATAATATTGTAATTCAAAATTTTCCAATAACAACAATAAATTAAAATATAAAAAACATGTTACAACAGTATAAAAGTTTTCACAATAACTTTTAAAATAAAAATCAACAAAACAAAAAAAAAGGAGGAGCAGTTGAGGATTAATAAAAATTTCAAGCATATTACAAGGAAAGCAACCGGGTAGTAAATAATAATTATTAACAGAATAATATCGAACAATAATTAAATATTACTAGTCTCATTTATGAATGTTTGCTGGCAGTAGAATTTTGTTTTTAGTTAAAAAATATCAATTTTTCGGGAAGTAATTTGACTAGCTTAGATTTGTCACATAATATTTTGTGACTTTTTGCGGGAAAATTCTTGATGCTCTATTCTACTTAATCACCAGCAGATGTTCATAATGGGGACAATTTAATATTCAAATTATGTTTTAAGTTCAACTTAATTATTATTATACAGTATTATTTGTAGATTTTGATTTGCCTTTTGTAAAACAGTTCTAAATTTTAGAAATGAAAAATATATTAAAGAACAATTGTTATTTAATAAACAAAAGGGAATTACTATAATTTTTTAATTATGTTTTATATGTTAAAAACTTCAAAAAATCGGTGCAGATATTTTTTTTTAATTAAAATCAAAAATCCAAATTAAATATTATAATAAAACCAAGCCGCTAATTATCTTTACTATTTTTAATTGTTTATTGCATAGCTTAATAAATAATTAAAATATTTTATTCAAATAAATAAATTTATATAATTTCTTTTGTTATATTAAGGATTAATTATTTAAATAAATATAATTTAATATATTATTTTAAATTTGTAGAAAAAAATTAAAAAAAACAAACGTCCATTCTTAAAACATTGTGACTTATTCTGAAAAGTGAAACATTAAAAATATAACAGTGATATTTTATCATAAAATTTTTATAAAACACTATTATAGTCACAAATCATTATTATTAATTGGTTTGTGTCAAAAATAAGAATGTATAAAATTTTTGATGATAAAATATTACTATTACCCAGTAGTAGTATTTCACCCCACAGAATAAGCTTTAGCAATTGAACGAAATCAAAATTTAATATTGAAATTTTAAGCAATAAATAAAAACAAACTAATTATTTATTTAATAATATTTAAAAAAAAAAAAGTATCTATTACATTAAATAATGAAAAATAATTGTATGAAAATATTAATTTTTAATTATTTTTTAATTACTTACGTAATTTATTTATTTTTTTTTTTATTTCGTTTTATTGTTAAATTTTACTAGTGTAAAATTCTAGTCATTTTATCTATTATTTTATTTATTTTATTAACTAATTTTAAAATTATTATTCAACTATATTAACAAAATGTATAATATAAATAAATAATATTAATGAAAATAAATCTAGTCATACATTCCAAAATAAAAAAAAATAAATTTTAAGAATTTAAATAAAAATTTTCTCTCCCCCTTTCCTATTTATATAACTTTAAATATAAATTTTTAGAAAATTAAAAACTGTATAAAATGTATAACTATTATATTTAACTAAACTTAACTATTTCTTAAGTCACTTTGTATATTTCTATTATTAAGATAAATCAAATAATAACTATATAATGATTATAATAATAATAAAGTATTTGATATAAAATTTCAGTTATTGTCCATCGTTCCTTATTTTAATTAATAAGATCTAAATACAATTCGTCAATCATATTCCTCTAAAACCGTTTTTATTTTCATTTCTTAATAATTTGACCTTAAATAACTCATATAATAACATTTCAATTTCAATCTATTATACACAATATTATCTCTTAGTTAGACTTACACTCAAAGAAAGTTTACTTTTGCAGACATAACTTGTGAAGGATTAATAATTGGGAAAAGAGCTTTTATGCTACAGTTACTTTCTGCCTGCCCTGCCATTTATAATCAAAACGACTTGAAAAATTATATAAAATTCGGACTTAAACTACGGTACAAAATAATCCGAATAAAATTAACAGCCGGGCTTTTTAAAGTAGTGATTATTACATATTTTTTTCAGCATTGCCAATAGTATCGAACGATCAAAACTTCTCAATTAGGCCTCTATACAAATTTTCAATGAATTCAAGTATTGAATTTATAATTATTCACAATTCATAATTATTGATAATTTCACTAATTACCAATTGCTTTATTTCTGGAATTTACTAAATTTAAGCCATTGTTTTTACGATATTAATTCAAGCCCTGCAATTTCAAATTTTTACCAAAAAAAAATATTACTTCGGCTTAAAAGAACAACGAATTTTACAATGCTAATCAAAGTATTGTAAATTAATAATTTACATCGTTATTATAATTTATATATAATCGTTATTATATATAAATTAAATCGATATCCCTTGTGATTTTTTAAACAACGAAGAAACATAATTTTGTTTTTTGTTTTTATAAATCAATAAAAGAAAAACACTGATATAAAATTCAAATTTGAAAAATACTCAATATTAAGAAAACTAATATACAATATATAAAAATTATTATATACAATGTGTTGAAAAAAAATGCAACGAAAAATAAAGCAAATGTTTCTTAAACAACGAATTAGTATTAGTGATGAAAATTTAATAATATAAAAATATTTAAAAAAAAAATGTTTACAAAAAAATTGTATGAGAAAGTATGAAAAATGTTTGATAAGTGCATAAGTAAAAATTTATATTATGAAAACTATTGAAAAAACAAAAAATCAAATTTAAAACATATAAAAATTTAATGTAAAAAAAATATTAAAAATAGTCAAGAATTTTCAATAAACACAAACATACTGATTTTATTTAAAACTCAATTATAATTAA